TTAGAACCCCGCCCGGGTTGACTCAGTTGCATCTTCGTCTCGCTTGCTGACTTGCGGCCCTCCGTTGGGCTGCAACAGGTATCGAATCTAGAGTACCACGTTACTCCTGCGTGGATATCTTCCGTGATGACCGTATCGAAATCATTGCCAACGACCCAGGGGTAACCGAACCACACCCTCGTTCGTTGCTTTCACAGACACAGAGCGTCTCATCGGTGATGACGCGAAGAACCAAGTCGCCATGAACCCCGCCAACACAGTCTTCGACGCAAAGCGACTCATTGGTCGTAAGTTCGCCGACCCTGAGGTCCAGGCTGACATGAAACACTTCCCCTTCAAGATCACCGACAAGGGCGGTAAGCCTGTCATTCAAGTCGAGTTCAAGGGCGAGACTAAGGAGTTCACTCCTGAGGAGATCTCCTCAATGGTCCTCACCAAGATGAGAGAGACTGCGGAGGCGTATCTTGGCGGCACTGTCAACAATGCCGTCGTCACCGTCCCCGCCTACTTCAACGACTCCCAGCGTCAAGCTACCAAGGATGCTGGTCTTATTGCCGGCCTCAATGTCCTCCGTATCATTAACGAGCCCACTGCGGCTGCTATTGCTTACGGTCTCGACAAGAAAGCTGACGGTGAACGCAATGTTCTGATCTTCGACTTGGGCGGCGGTACTTTCGATGTGTCTCTCCTCACCATCGAAGAGGGTATCTTCGAGGTCAAGTCCACTGCCGGTGACACCCACTTGGGTGGTGAGGACTTTGATAACCGCCTCGTTAACCACTTTGTCTCGGAGTTCAAGAGAAAATTCAAAAAAGGTTAGTAAAATATCCCCAGATATTTGTTTTCTTAATTTTTTTTTTTTTTTTTTTTTTTTTTTATCCGATCGTTACAAACCTACAAGCCTACAATTGCCCCTCCCCCCCCCCAACCTTCTTCACGCCCATTTTTCTCTTCTTACCTATACTAACCGCCCTCCAGATCTCTCCGCCAACGCACGTGCACTCCGCCGTCTCCGCACTGCTTGCGAACGTGCCAAGCGCACCCTCTCCTGTGCTGCTCAGACTTCCATTGAAATTGACTCCCTATATGAGGGTATCGATTTCTACACCTCTATCACCCGTAACAAAGGGTCGAGGAGCTTTGCCAGGATCTCTTCCGTTCC